CTTGCGCAGCAAGGGTGAGGTCACTGAGGTGTTGATCGCCTGGATCCGCGCAGCTCGTCTCCAGCTCAGAGAGAGTTTCGGCTCGGACTTTCCTGTTCTACGCCTGCACTCTGACAGAGGCGGAGAGTTCTCCTCTGACCTTCTGCGAGCCTTCTGTCGTGCACGAGGCATCCGCCAGACCTTCACGCTTCCGGACTCTCCGCAGCAAAATGGGATTGCTGAGCGCCGCATTGGCATGGTCATGGACGTCGCTCGTACGTCCATGGTCCATGCGGCTGCCCCCCATTTTCTGTGGCCGTTTGCGGTTCGGTACGCGGCGCATCAGATCAACCTTCAGCCCCGGGTCTCCATGCCGGAGACCTCCCCTGCCTTGCTGTGGACGGGGAAGGTTGGCGATGCGTCTGCGTTCCGTGTCTGGGGATCTCGGGCGTTTGTCCGCGACTTGTCTGCGGACAAGCTGTCCCCTCGTGCTGTTCCCTGTGTCTTCCTTGGCTTCCCCCCTGACTCGCCGGGCTGGCAGTTCTACCACCCCACCTCGCACCGTGTTCTGTCCTCCCAGGACGTCACGTTTGACGAGTCGGTTCCCTACTACCGTCTCTTCCCCTACCGCACTGCGTCCCTCCCCCCCCCGCCGCTCTTCCTTACGCCAGGTCCCCCTCCGGTAGACCCCCTCCCCCCTCAGGGTCCTGCCCCCTCAGGTGTGTCTCAGGTAGACGCAGTCGACCCTGTCGAGGTAGCTGTTGACTCTGGTGTTGCTAGGGGTGCTGAGCCTGCGGGTGCTGGGTCTGGGGGTGCTGACTCTGGGGGTGCTGAGCCTGGGGGTGCTGATTCTGGGGGTGCTGAGCCTGGGGGTGCTGACTTTGGGGGTGCTACGCCTGGGGGTTCTGAGCCTAGGGGTGCTGCGTCTGGGGGTGCGGAGTCTGAGGGTACTGGACCTGCTCATGTGGCGTCTGGCGGTGCTGGGCCTGGAGGTTCTTCGGGTGCTTCGTCCCGGCGGGAGCTACTCTCTCCACAGGAGCTGCGTGAGTGGTTTGCCCGGCGCTGGAGGCGTGCTGCTGGAGCTGGAGGTACTGCGGGCGCTGGAGGTTCTACTGATGTTGAGGGTGCTGGTGCCGCGGGTCCCGGAGGTGCTCGTACTGGGAGTACTGGAGCTGCTGGGCCTGCGGGTGCGTCTAGTGCTGGAGCTGGTGGACCTACTGCGTCTTCTGGTGGTCCGGCTGGAGCTGGAGCTGCTGGGGGTGTTGGCGCTGAGGGTGCTTCTGGTGCTGGTGCCCCTGAGGGTGCTGGAGCTGGCGCTGCTGGAGCTGGGGGTGCTGCTGGCGCTGGTGCTGTCCCTTCTGGTGCTGGTGCTTCTGAGGGTGCTGGCGTTGGTGCTGCTGGAGCTGGTGCTGCCGTTCGTGGTGCTGGCGCTGTTCCTGCTGGTTCTGGGGGTGCTGCACGGCCGCGGCCGTACTTCGTTCCGCTCCTTGAGCAGGTTCTTGGTCTTCCGCCCTCCACTAGTCCGGATCCTCCCTTAGAGTGTCCACCGCCTGTCCGGTCTGAGTCACAGTTACAGCCTACCTCTCCTCTGCCTGCTCCTTCTCCCTACACTGGTCCTACTGGAGGTCTTGTTGAGCGTCGTGAGCCTGCGTCTCGTCCTGCGTCGCCGGTCCGTGCGGCTCACACTGGTGGTCGTGGTTCGCGTCAGCGTCCTCACCCCCTCCCCGGCACGCACCGGATGTCTCTGCGTCCGTCCACTGCTCCTCTTCGTGCCCCTTTGCCTTCTCCGCCTGCGTCCTCTCTTCCTGTCCTTGCTGACCCGGAGTCAGACTCCCTTCGTGCTGCTAGTCCTACTGTCACGCGTCTCCTTGCTACTGTCGTCACTGACCCTTCCTTTGAGTCCACTGCGGCGTCTGCCCTAGTTGCTGAGCTTGTCGACTTCGCTGCTCGCTGTCGTCTAGACTACGCTACTCGTCTGGTTACTGAGTCTGCGTCTGTCTGTCCTCCGTCCGTCGGGGGTGAGTGTGCTCTTGGCACGGACGTCCTTGAGGACAGACAGGAGGACCTCCAGTGTCTTGCGGCTGTTTCACCTCATCTCGTGTCCATGCTACTTGCCCTTGAGGGAGACCCGGATGCACCAGACATCCCGACTCCGCGCTCTTACGCGGAGGCGATAGAGGGTCCCTACTCCTCTCAGTGGCAGGCAGCCATGGATGCAGAGATGGCTTCCTGGAAGCCCACAGGCACCTACGTTGACGAGGTTCCCCCGCCTGGGGCGAACATCGTCAGTGGCATGTGGATTTTCAGGGTGAAGTGGCCGCCGGGTTCTCCGCCTGTCTTCAAGGCGCGTTACGTGGCTCGTGGCTTCAGTCAGCGGCAGGGAGTTGACTACTTTCAGACCTTCTCTCCCACCCCGAAGATGACTACTCTTCGGGTACTGCTGCACATAGCCGCTCACCGTGACTACGAGCTTCACTCTCTTGACTTCAGCACTGCTTTCTTGCAGGGCAGCCTGCACGAGGAGATCTGGCTACGCCGCCCACCTGGCTTCACTGGGACTTTTCCTCCTGGCACCCAGTGGAGCCTCCGGCGGCCAGTCTACGGTCTCCGCCAGGCACCTCGTGAGTGGCACGACACACTGAGGACTACACTTGCGGCTCTTGGGTTTGCTCCTTCTACTGCCGACCCGTCGCTGTTTCTGCGCACCGACACCTCTTTGCCGCCGTTCTACATCCTCGTGTACGTCGACGACTTGGTCTTTGCCACAGCTGACACTGCTGGACTCGCCTACGTGAAGTCCGAGCTGCAGAAGAGACACACGTGCACAGACCTAGGTGAACTGCGCAGCTACCTTGGCTTGCAGATCACCCGGGACAGAGCACAGCGCACCATTACCCTGACTCAGTCACACATGTGCAGCAGGTCCTTCAGCGCTTCGGCTTCACGTACTCCTCGCCTCAGGCCACTCCTCTGTCTACTCGCCACTCGCTCTCAGCTCTGCCTTCGGATGAGTCCGTAGAGTCGAGTGGCCCGTACCCAGAGCTTGTTGGCTGCCTCATGTACCTGATGACCTGCACTCGACCTGACCTTGCATACCCTCTTAGCATTCTGGCACGCTATGTTGCTCCTGGGAGACACAGACCAGAGCACATGGCTGCAGCGAAGAGGGTGTTGCGCTACTTGTGCAGTACGTCGGGCATGGGGCTAGTGCTTGGAGGGCGGAGTCCAGTGGTCCTCACTGGTCACGCAGACGCTTCTTGGGCTGACGACCAGGCTACACAGCGGTCGTCACAGGGTTACACCTTCAGCCTTGGTTCCGGCTCTGTTTCGTGGCGGTCTACCCGCTCGTCTTCTGTTCTCGGCTCCAGTTGTGAGGCTGAGATCTACGCAGGGGCCATGGCTGCACAGGAGCTACGCTGGCTCACCTACCTGCTGACTGACCTTGGAGAGCCGCCTCGTTCTCCTCCAGTTCTGTACGTAGACAACAAGGCCATGCTGGCCTTGTGTCGGGAGCACAGACTGGAGCACAGAACGAAGCACATCGCTTTTCGCTACTTTCTTGCTCGTGAGCTGCAGCAGCGCGGTCAGCTGCGCCTTGCTTACGTGGCCTCTGAGGCCAACACTGCTGATATCTTCACCAAGGCACTCGCGCCTTGTGATCATCAGCGCTTCTGCACTCTGTTAGGTCTTGTGCCTACCTTGCCTCACTTGCTCACTTCTTGACCTTGCTTGTACTGTTACACATATATATACCTGCTCTTGCTTGTTTAGCGTTATATATATGTAATCATGCATGTGAACTGGCCTTGTGGCCTTGACTTGTGCTCAGAATGTGTGGTGACGTTGTGATCCACCCTGAGCTTGCTTTGCCTTGCTTTACTTGACTGGTCTTGTGACCCCTTGTTCTCCCCCACTTTGCCTATGGGGGTGTGTCAAACTTATATGATCTAGCCTGTGTAGGCTGTAGCGGGTTAGACACTAAGGGGTACACAATTCTAGGGTTTCATATTTGTATCACTTTCATTCCTTGGTCATTCATTCTCGTTCTAAACTTCACAGTAACTTGGGCACAATCTAGATTGGATGGACCGTGAGTGACTTTGAGTGCCACATGAGGTGCATGAATAAGAAAACTCTGGATATTTCTGTTATAGCTGATTCTGATGTGTAGAAACCTGTAGAAACTGCCAACACTTCGGTTTGAAGGCAGCTTTGAACTGTATCGAGTCTTCGGCTGAAATCTGATTGGTGATGGAACTTTCGAAGTACTTCCCGAAGCCTCTGATTCATCGCCGACATTCCCCCTTGCTGCTGCTTGTGTGCAAAGGGCTGGGGCGGCAGAAACTCGATTCTCCAACACTGAGCAGGCAGTGCTGCCCCCGCAAGTGTCAGGTTTCAAAATTCAAACCAAGCGGGATTCTGAAATTCGCAGGCCGTGCTAAGGCTGGCCCAGAATCATGTAGGTCGTCTTTAGACACCAGATAGTAATTCAAGGTCGGATCGAATTGGATTAGTCTCACGGGAAACATTCGACACGAGGTGTTTTGTGTGTGCTTCTCTTCAAAGAGCCCGCCGACAAAATAAACTGGAATGGGCCCTTAGAGTTCTAGATGCTTCGCTACAAGCATGACTCCACAAATACAGTGCACGTTGCTCCACTGAGCTTGGCATCACACCAAACAAATAGGGCTCAGGGTTCAGGGCTTTGTGCATCAGCCGAGGTTTCCGTAAAGCTTATAAAGCAGTGGGGAAGGCTGTGGTTGGTCAACAACCCTCGTTTTCCGCCGAGAGGTTTCCAGACTGATTGGGAGAAGAGGAGTATTCGTCGGAGAGAAGTCTTTTGCATCCATTGGCTTGGGCGCACGAGCGGCGCCCTTGAGTTGACTCGCAGGCATCGCAAAGGCATCGCACAGACATCGCACAGGATCGCACAGGCTTTGCACGGGGATCGCACAGGCATCGCACAGCGATCGTTGGAAAGGGAAGCCGCTGCTCGTTACGGCGCACGAGCATCTGCCGCGATGGCGCGAGGGCGAGCAGCGGGCGCGCGGGGAGGGGCAGCGGCGCGCGGGGCAGGGAGGGGCGGCGCAGGAAGAGGAGCGGTAGAGATCGGAGAAGGAGGCGTGGGGTCGGGGGGGGTAGCGACGGGCATGGAAGCGGCGGGGCGGATGGCGGGGGGGTGGGTAGCGGCGGGAGAGGTGGTATCGCCGTCGGAGGTGCCATCTGGGGGAGGCGTCATCTCCCCCTGGTGCATGCACGTGCACACCGTGCTCGGCACGCGCCTTCTCGTGCCCGTCGCTCCCAGCGCCTCCATCAGCGACCTCCTCCGTGCGTTCCCCTTCGCGCTCCCCGTCCCCCCGTCCCGCACGTCCAGCTCTTCTCCCCCGTCCCCCACTGCTGCCTTCCCCCCCCTTCACTGCTGCCTTCCCCCCCCTTCACTGCTGCCTTCCCCCCCCTTCACTGCTGCCTTCCCCCCCCCTTCACTGCTGCCTTCCCCCCCCTTCACTGCTGCCTTCCCCCCCCTTCACTGGTGTCTTCCCCCCCTTCACTGGTGTCTTCCCCCCCTTCACTGGTGTCTTGCCCCCCCCTTCACTGGTGTCTTGCCCCCCCCTTCACTGGTGTCTTCCCCCGTCCCCTATGGAGTGTTCGACTGAGAGACGAGGGAAGGGGAAGATGGCGAGTGCTCAGTGAAGCGCACATTGACTGAGAGACAGCGACAGCACATCTACCCACTCGCTCGCTGCACTCCCCATCCCACTCCCTGCGGCTTCCCTGCCTCCCACTTGCTGTCTCCCTCTGCCTCTTGGAAAGGAAACGATGAAACACAGTAGTGTAACCCCTCGCTAGAATTAAACCCTGCGCATAAACTCGCGCGGTTTGAACCCTACATCACGTGCAAGCCAACCGACACCCGCGCCACGTGTTGATGCGGTGCAAAAGCGTTGATCGCCTGCCCTGGCGGGCCCACGTGCTTCCAACCAACACTGGATTCACGTCACCTTCTTCCCCCTTTCCTCACTGCACGCATTCTCTCCCCTTCCACGCCTCCAAACCAAACCCTTGAATTATGTCCTTTCTTCCACTTTCGCTTCTTTGTTCCTTTTTCCTTCTTCCCCACCCTCCCCATATTACCTCCTCCTCCTCCTCCTCCTCCTCCTCCTCCTCCTCCTCCTCCTCCTCCTCCTCCTCCTCCACCACCACCACCACCACCACCACCACCACCACCACCACCACCACCACCACCACCACCACCACCACCACCACCACCACCACCACCACCACCACCACCACTTTCCCCTCCCCTGTCTTCAATCCCTCATGTCTCCTGCACTTCCTCCCCACCTGGCTGGATGGCAGGCATGGTGGGGCAGCAGCACGAGCACATACACGCGCACATGGGGAGCATTCGTTTCGAGTCCGTCAAGGTGTGTGCTTTGCTTCCCCTCCTTGAGGTGCCACACTGCCACCCCTCCCAAGGGCACGTGCCACCCCTCCCTGGCGCATGCAAATTCTTTCAATCCCTCCTTAGAAGTCCACCAGCGAGTGTGCAGCACTCAAATCATCGGCCTCGCAATCCCAAAACATTCTGCACTCGAACCCTGGACCGAGGGTTCAGGGTTTAAGGTTTTGCACCTTCCTGCACTCGAACCCTGGCCCGGACCTTGGCTCCAGCCTACCTCACAGAAATATTTACCTTACGGGATGCACCATAATACAAATTGAATCATACAGTCTCCTCGCGGCACCCATTCGACAGCCACGATTTACACTTTCTCTCGCTCCTTGCTTTCTCTCCACCTCAGTCCCCTCTTATACTTCATATCCCCCATTTATCCCTCTTTTATCCCTCTTAATTCCCTCTTCTCCCCCACGTGTCCAACTCTTTTCCCCCATTGCTTCCATGCTCACCCATCAGGTGCTGCGCCAGGCCACTCTGTTTGACGTCGCCCCACAACTCAAACTGGCTGACGTGTTGAAGCCTGATGACGTCATCCTCGCTTTTACTGGGGATGCTGACGTTGCTGCTGATGTCAGCGGTGAGCTCCCTTGGGTTCTGATAGGTTGGAGGTGCTGCAGCCATCTGTGCATGGTTTCACTTGTTGGTTTCTTTGACTGTTAGTTTTCCTGTGTCGTTTCTTCGTTCTAAGTACCTTTCCAGGCTGGGGTGATGAGTTTGTCTGAGTACCAAGCTTCACATGGTAAACAACACCCTCTTTGTTGCATGACCCTCTTTTTGAAGATGCGATTCAATTGTTCCCAATTCCGTCGCACACGTGCGAATGAACGGAATGCCTTTGTTCTTCAAGCCTCGCACCTCCATTTCGTCATTTTCTCTCGTTCCCCCTCTCACTCTCTGCGCCTCCTCCACCTCCTTTCGCCCTCTCCCTTTCATACTCTTTCTTGCCTACCCAACAGACTATCTGACACACCACCTTGCCTTCGGCTCCTCTCTTCCCCCTCTCACTCTCTGCTCCTCCCCCATCTCCTTTCACCCTCTTCATTTCACACACCTTTCACGCCTACCCAAACAGACTATCTGACACACCACCTTGCCTTCGGCTCCTCTCTTCCGAGTCACGACGAGTCCCCCTTTAGCCCCCGCCACCACCACTCACCATCTCCTCACCACCAACTGCCACGTGGCAATCTCTTCAGCAACCACGTGGCATTTCAGCGTGGGCTGCTGGCTGCCCTCGCTGCTGCTGACGTGGCAGGGAGGGGGGTGGAGGCGGTCAGCGAATCAGGAGAGAGGAGGAGAGTGAAGGGGGTGGTGTTGGGGGGAGGGGGAAAGAGGATGCGGTTGGAGGGGGGGAGTGGGGAGGGGAGGGGAGGAGGCAGTGTGCCCCTGCTGACAGATGGGGGGACGGGAGAGGGGGGAATCAAGGGAGCAGGAGGCGGGAGAGGGGGAGGGGAGGCGCAGGTGGGAGGACAGGTGGGCCATGAAGGGCGTGGCAGGGAGGGGGAAGGGGCGGGGAATGGGGGGCAGGAAGGGGGGCGTGAGAGGAAGCGGAGGAGGGAGAGCGAGGAAGAGCAGAGCATGGGTGATGGCACTGGAGAGGGGGAAGGTCGGGGGAAGGCAGATGGGAAGAGTGTAGATGCTGAGAACGCTGATGGGAAGGGGCTGGGCGAGGGGAGTGCGGATGTGGGACGGGGAGGGAAAAGACAAAGACGAGCGGAGGGGAGTGAGAAGGATGGGGTGGTGGAGGGGAGAGAGAGGGATGGGGGGTCGGTGGATGGGGTTGAGTTGGAGGGGAGAGGGGGCGGGAAGGGGGATGAGATAGATGCGACTGTGGGGAAGAAAGAGAGGGGTGGAGGGTTGACGGAGAGAGAAGGGGTGTCGGAGAAGAGAAGTGCTGAGGAGAAAGATGAGGGGAAAGGGAAAGACGAGGTGACAGGGAATGATGAGATAGAGCCGATAGATGAGGCAAAGGAGAAGGATGAGGTGAAGGGAAAGGAAGCGAAGGAAGGGAATGCATGTGGGAAGGGGCAAGCAGCGGAGATTGAGGATGAAGCGGTGGAGGAGAGAGCAATGAATGGGGTGAAGGAGGGCCGTGCACCTCAGGGTGTTGAGACGTCTCAAAAGGCATCACAGGGTGTTGAGACGTCTCAAAACGCATCACAGGGTGTTGAGACGTCTCAAAACGCATCACAGGGTGTTGAGACGTCTCAAAACGCATCACAGGGTGTTGAGACGTCTCAAAACGCATCACAGGGTGTTGAGACGTCTCAAAACGCATCACAGGGTGTTGAGACGTCTCAAAACGCATCACAGGGTGTTGGCGATAGTGCACGGGGGGCTGGGGTGAAGGGTGGACGGGGTAAGAATGAGGAAGTGGTGAGTGTGGTGAGGGATGAGAGTGAGGAGAGTGAGACTGATGGTGAGGAGGAGGGAAAGGAGGAAAAGGAGGAGGGGAAAGGGGGAGGGAAGGATATGGAGATTGAGAAAGAGGAATCAGAAGATGGGGAAGATGAGGAGGACGAGGAGACAGAGGAGGAAGAGGAGGAGAACGTAAGAGTTTCAGAGGCAGAGGCGAAGGAGGCAGGAAAGAAGGAAGATGGGGGTGATGATTCGGAGACCGAAGGAGAATCAGACGACGAGTCAGAGGAGGAGGCGGGAAAGAAAGGAAAGGTGAAAGAAAAGGAAGTGAAAGGGAAGGATAAGGGGAAGACAGACAAAGAGGAGGACGAGGAGGGGAAATTGAAAACGTCAGAGGCAGAGGCGAAGGAGGAGGGGAAGACGGAAGATGGTGGTGATGATTCGGAGACGGAAGGAGAATCGGACGACGAGACAGAGGAGGAGGTACGAAAGGAAGGAAAGGCGAAAGAGAAGGAAGCGAAAGGGAAGGAAGCGAAAGGGAAGGACAAGGGGAAGACGGACAAAGAGGAGGAAGAAGAGGAAGAGGAGGATGAGGAGGGGAAAGTGAAAAAATTGGAGGCAGAAGCGAAGGAGGAGGGGAAGAAGGAAGATGGTGGTGATGATTCGGAGACAGAAGAAGCATCAGAGGAAGAGACAGAGGAGGATGTAGAAGAGGAGGCAGGAAAGAAAGGAAAGGTGAAAGAAAAGGAAGAGGTAGGGAAAGGTAGAGGAAAGACAGACGAAGAGGAGGAAGAGGAGGGGGACGAGAAGGGAGGGGAAGAGGAGGAAGAAGAGAAAGGAGAGGAGGAGGATGAGGAGGGGAAAGTGAAAGCTACAGGGGCAAAGTCGAAGGAGGAGGAGAAGATGGAAACTGGCAGTGATGATTCCGAGACAGATGAGTCAGAGGAAGAGGAGGAGGATGAGGATGGGAAAGTGAAAGTTCCAGAGGCAGAGGGGAAGGAGGATGGGAAGATGGAAACTGGCGGTGATGATTCTGAGACAGAGGAAGAGTCAGAGGAAGAGACAGAGGAGGAGGAAGAGGAGGTAGAAGAGGAGGCAGGAAAGAAAGGAAAGGCAAAAGAAAAGGAGGTGGTAGGGAAGGATAGAGGAAAGACAGACAAAGAGGAAGAAGAAAAGGAGGAGGAGGAGGAGGAGGAGGAGGAGGAGGAGGAGGAGGAGGAGGAGGAGGAGGAGGAGGAGGAGGAGGAGGAGGAGGAGGAGGAGGAGGAGGAGGAGGAGGAGGAGGAAGAGGAAGAGAAAGAGGAAGAAGAAGAGGAGGAGGAAGAGGAGTCAGATGATGAGGTGGTGGTGTTGGAGAGCGGTGCAGAGGGAAACAAGGGGCGAACAGACAAGGCTCAGACCAGATCTTCTGCTGCCGCTGCGAGCAAAGCATTGGCAACGAAAGGAGCCGCAAGCAAGGCGGACGGGAAAGGAGCAGACAGCAAAGCAGCAGCGGCGGGCAAAGCAGTAGAAGACAAGGAACTAGCAGTGAAGGCTGTGGGAGGCAAACAAGACGGAGCAAGCAAAGGAGCTATCAGATCTGCTGCAGCAGGATCAGGAGGAAAAGCTGTTGATGCGAAGAGAGTGGGTGTTGCAATGATCAGTGGGGAAGAGGATGAGAAGAGTGAGGAGGAGAGTGAGGAGGAGAGTGAGGGGAGCGAGACAGAGAGTGAGGGAGAAGTGGATGAGGAGAAAGAGGGGAGCGAGACAGAGAGTGAGGGAGAAGTGGATGAGGAGAAAGAGGGGAGCGAGACAGAGAGTGAGGGAGAAGCGGATGAGGAGAAAGAGGAGGAGAGTGAGGAAGAAAGTGAGGATGAGAGTGAGGAGGAGAGTGAGGAGGAGGAAGAGGAGAGGAAACTGGATGACAATAGCAAGAAGCAGGCCAGCACAAGTAAGGGAGCGGACACGGGCAAAGGAACAGTGTCAGGGTATGGCAAGGGAAAAGGGGCTGCAGGGAAGGGGAAGGCAGAGGGTTCAAGGAAGGCGGAGAGTGTGAGTGGAGGGAAGGAGGCAAGCAGAGGGAAGAAAGGCCACGAGGGGGCAGCAGCAGCAGCAGGAGCACAGACGGATGTGGGTGGCATGGGGGGGAGGAAGACGGGAGGGAAGCGAGGGGGTGGAGGCAAGAAGGCTGAGGCAGGAGCACAAGGTGCAGCCGCTGCTGCTACTTCTGCTGCCCCTGCTGCTGCTGCTGCTGCCCCTGCTGCTGCTGCTGCTGCCCCTGCTGCTGCTGCTGCTGCTTACCCTGCTGCTCCGGCTGTTGCAGCAGCCAAGTCTGCGAGCTCCGGGGAGGCGGCTCCTCTGGAAGCTGGAAGAGCAGGGGGGAGGGGGACGGGTAGGGGTAGGGGTAGGGGTAGGGGGAGGGGGAGGGGTGCTGTGAATCCTTCTGCCGATGTGCCTGCTGCGGCTGCTGCGGCTGCAACTGCTGCTACTGCTGGAGCCGCTTCTAGCGCAGATGTTCTTAATTCTGCTTCTGCCGATGCGGCTCCCCCAGCAGCAAAGAAGCGCGGTAGGCCTCGTGCTGCTGCTGCCCCTGGGTCTGCTGCAACTGCTGCTGCTGCTGTGGCCGCTGCTGCTACTGCTACTGGAGCTGCCTCTAGTGCAGATGAGCTTCATTCTGCTTCTGCTGATGGGGCTCCCCCAGCAGCAAAGAGGCGCGGTAGGCCTCCTGCTGCCAAACCTAAAGTTGCTGCCGCTGATCCTGCGGCTTCTGCTGCTGCCCCCGCTGCTGCTCCCCTTCCTCCTGTTGCACCTGTTAGTGGTGCATCTGCTGCTGCAGCAGCAGGAGGAAAGGCATCAGGGAGAGGGAAGGCAGTGGGACGAGGAAAGGCAGCAGCAGAGGCAAGAAAGGCAGAAGCAGGGGCAGCAGCAGCAGCAGCAGCAGGTGGTAACGCGGTTGCTGCTCCAGACACAGATACAGCATCAGTGTCATCACAGGTGCCAACAGCTGCTGCTGTGGATGGAGTGGGAGGAAACGCATCGGCAGAAGGGAGGGCAGGAGCAGGAGGGAAGGCAGCAGGTGGAAGGGGAAAGACGGCAGGCAAGGGGAAGGCAGCAGCAGCTGCCGCTGCTGCTGGCAAGGCAAAAGGAGGAGCAGCAGCAGTAAAGGCGGGTGCGTCACGTGCAGCAGAGGCAGCAGGGGCAGGATGGGCAGAAGGGCCAATAGATACAGCGAACCCGACGGGTCCAAGAGTCCCTCTTCGAATGAGCGCACCACCAAGCGGCACCTTTCGTTACCCCCGAGCCACTTCCCCTATTGCCTCCACTGCCCCTATTGCCTCTGCTGCCCCCTTGCCTCCACCTTCCCCCACGGCTGGGCCGCCCAGGTAACTTCCCCGTGCATCCAGGTGAGTCCTTTGTGTGTCCAGCAACTTCCGTGTGCATCCAGGTAACTTCCTCGTGCGCCCAGGTAACTTGCTCGTGTGTCCACATAACTTCCTTGTGCGGCCAGGTAACTTCCTTGTGCGCCCAGGTAACTTCCTTGTGCGCCCAGGTAACTTCCTTGTGTGCCCAGGTAACTTGCTCGTGCATCCAGGTAACTTACTCGTGCATCCAGGTAACTTTCTTGTGTGCCCAGGAAACTTCTCGTGCATCCAGGTAGGTTTCTCATGTGCCCAGGTAACTTCCCCATGCGTCCAGGTAACTTCCTTGTGCGCCCAGGAACTTGTTTGTGGGCCCAGGAAACTTACTTGTCCGTCGAGGTAACTAAACCTCCTATTGCACCCAGGTAACTTGCTAATATCATCACAGGATGTAGCCATGTGCTATTTAGCCATGTAACCATGTGCAATGTTTTGTCACATTTTCATTGCATACCTGTCTTTTGTTGTTGCATTCCCGTTCCCCACTACCTTGTTTGCTCGGTGTATCTACTTGTTATGATGTAGTCGCATTTGCCATTCTATACCGTGTCACTTTTTCCCACGTGTTGTTTGAGCTCGCCTCACTGACTGCTTGGCTTGCCCCTCCCCTTGTGGTTTCTCAACAGCCCTATGCCGGTCCTTGACCTGGGAGACATTCTTAAGATGATAAAGTAAACTGCATCAAGGCGCAATCTTGCTTCATAAGTGCCTGTTCAGAGGAGCACCCACGCACGCACCCAAGTAAATGGTGAACTCTGAGCATGTTCTTTTCTTTGGACATTGTTTGTACGCTTCGGGTCCAGACTGTAATGACGTGATGCAGTTATGGAGAGTGTGAAGTGTACTTCGATGCACTTTGCAGATTCCAATCGAAACACAAATAGTCATGGATGTAAGTGAGCTATTCAAAGGAAAGGAAATGTCACCAGATCATTTTTGCGCCTGTGTGCGACCTTGTGCACCTGAGTGAAGATGGTGCTGGATGGGTGTGTGTGTGCTCTGATTCAGACAATACCTGGTTATTGGAGCCCGCCGAGGGTGGTTTAGCAGCCAATACACGCACTGCATGTCATGAAAAGGTCCTTTTTTTTCGGGCGTTTGAGAGTTTACAAGAACTGTAGTCCTCTCTTACAAACATCTGCTTGACAAGCTTTCAGAAAATGCTGCAGAACTTCTCGGCTTCACCAGTGTTGAGGAGGGTCGGCACGGCAGACACTCGAAAGGCAGTAAGCAGGTGGTGCAATGCTCTGCATTTCCCCACAATGCACCGAAGCCCAACTTGGTGTGAGGGCAGCCAACGTGCCAGCTAAGGAGGTGCCACACCAGGGCTATCAAAACAAGGTGCAGTCAGCATCAGCCTGTCGGCACAAATACTTCCTGCTCTGCTTGCTGATGGAAGAAAGGGGCTGAGGGGAGAGAGATGGCCACTTCTCAGTACTGATGTGCACAAAAAGCAGGCTTTGAACCTGACGTGAATCGAACACGCAACCTTCTGATCTGGAGTCAGACGCGCTACCATTGCGCCACAGATCCGTGAAGACTAAACATTTTTAAAATATTAATGTTAAATACGTCGCGTTCACATCTGACCAGAAGCGTGTCTTCCCGCCCCGCCACAAATAACCGTTTGAACTCGTGCTGCAATTCATCTCGAATTCACACAGATTTGTTGAGCCAAACAAATCAGCCACGCACACACTCGTGTTTGAGCCCATCCCATTCCCGTACATGGCAGAAATGACCACGCGATCGAGCAAACTTTGACAGCAACGCGCAGATTTCACCGTGGTGATGAAACTGGCGAGAGGCGAGAGCGCGATTCCATAGCCAGTTAAACAGGATCGTCATGGCATCGTCGCTGGGAGGTGCTGAAGATCCGATTGCGAACTGAGAGGGACGAGCGAGCGACGTGATAAGAGGAGGCGAGAGAACGATAGGCGACAGGACAACGCCGACCCCGAAGGCAAGGACCTACATTCATAGCGGAGCTTGGTCTTACCGCGACTCTGTCCCTCAATTCTTATTTTCGTGCCTCAAGGCACCCGAACTTCACTTCTGCTCAGAGAATAATTTCTCTCTGTCTCTCTCGCTTCCCACAATCAGTCAACTGGCAGTTTCCGTCCATCCCTTCCAATCTTTGTTAGTCTCTCCTACTCACCTTCATTCATCATCTCACAAGAAATAGAAGTTCTCTTTCTCCCACCTTCAATCCTAGTAGTCGTGGAAGCTAAATTCGCTCGTTTCCAGCATCGCAACTCAAATCATGTTCTCTCCCCGTCCCTTCGCTCCTTTCTTTCTCTTCCCTCGCCCGCTCGTCTCCCTCTCCCTCTTCCCCCCAATTCTCTCCCTCTTTCTTTCTCCTATCCCTCTTCCTCTCCCTCTTTCTCCCCCTATTTCTCTCCCTCTTTCTTTCCCTATCTCCCTCTCGCTCATTCTCAGACCAGGGCAACGACCTGATCGACGCGCTCCCAGCGGCGCTCTGGCACCGCATTTTCCACCTGCTGCTGGAGCGCCCCTGCACCGCCACCCCTCCGCACTCCGCGGGCGGCCGCTACTACTGCCGCGCGCGCAGCACGGCGCAGCGAGCAGAACCCAACTTCAGACGCACCGGCGGTGGCGGCGGTGCTGGTAGTTCTACTGGCCGCAATGTCTCACGAAGCGCTGAGAATGGTGCGGCTAGAGTGGCACCGGTGCCCGTGTTCGTGAAGGCCGGGGTGTCGCCGTGCTGGCTGCATGCGCACAACGCTCGCACGTACGGCTCCTCGTGGCCTCTGCTGTGCTGCGCGCTCGCCAGCAAGAGGCTGCTCCACCTCGTCGCCTCCTTCTCCGTGAGTCCCATGCTCGCTCTCCCCCTCTCTCCCTCACTACGCCTAGTGCTGGACTCTCAGCTGATAACCTCCACTCCCTCCACTCCCTCCACTCCCTCCACTCCCTCCACTCCCTCCACTCCCTCCACTCCCTCCACTCCCTCCACTCCCTCCACTCCCTCCACTCCCTCCACTCCCTCCACTCCCTCCACTCCCTCCACTCCCTCCACTCCCTCCACTCCCTCCACTCCCTCCACTCCCTCCACTCCCTCCACTCCCTCCACTCCCTCCACTCCCTCCACTCCCTCCACTCCCTCCACTCCCTCCACTCCCTCCACTCCCTCCACTCCCTCCACTCCCTCCACTCCCTCCACTCCCTCCACTCCCTCCACTCCCTCCACTCCCTCCACTCCCTCCACTCCCTCCACTCCCTCCACTCCCTCCACTCCCTCCACTCCCTCCACTCCCTCCACTCCCTCCACTCCCTCCACTCCCTCCACTCCCTCCACTCCCTCCACTCCCTCCACTCCCTCCACTCCCTCCACTCCCTCCACTCCCTCCACTCCCACCCTCCCTCCGCTCGCCAGCAAGAGGCTGTTCCACCTCGTCGCCTCCTTCTCCGTGCGTAGAGTGCTCCACTCGTTCTCTGTCCCTCCACGCCCTGTTCTCGCGACTGCTGCCCCTCCACACACTCGCATTTTCCATGTTGGTTCTTTTCCAGGGGCACTTGTCGTGTCTCGCTCCTTCACACTTCATTGCATTCTGAATCCTAGGTTAAATGCATATCTCTCTGTCCTTCACTCCCATGCATGGCAGCTTCGCACTCTCAGATGCTCCTTCGAGCTCTCTCCCTCTCTCTCATTTTTCTGCGCATGCTGGAATCCCTCTTGATAACCATCTTCATAACCATCTTGATGAGCTCTAGTGCTCACTCCAAGCTTTTTTCCCTCCCTCCTCCCTCCCTCCTTCGCTCCCTCCCTCCCTCCCTCCCTTCCTCCCTCCCTCCCTCCCCTCCTCTCACTCACCAGGAACAAGGCACGCCCATGAGTCTGCACCTCAGCTCCGCCCAGCCCCAGTGGACCACCAGCGTGCGCTGGCTGCTCTCCCGCTCCTCTCCCACCTTTCCTTTCCTCCGCCTCTCCTTCTCCCACCCCTCCCTCATCCCCCTCATTCGCCGCCCCTTCACTCTCCCCTCCTCTCCGGTCTCCTCCTCCCTCTCATCCATGCAACTAAGCTTGAGCATTAGAGAGAAATTCACAGAGGAGGATTACCGCCAGAGTGACTGGAATCTAGGCTTTCTCAAGACCTGCTCCTCCCTGCACTCCCTCGCACTCGAACGTGGCGCCTGGCGCTTGGGTAGAAGCTGCCTCACCGCTCCCTGGATGCAGTCCCTTCGGAGCTTAACCCTAAAAAATGTGGACCCCAGGGGAATATCTCTTAAAGCCCTGGCTGTCATTTCCCCTCAGCTGCACGAATTCTCGTTCTGCGAGCCGTGGAAGCTGGAGGAGGAGGGAGGGGAGGACTGCAAGGGACCGGTGCTGCTGGCGCTCGAGTTCCCCAGGGCTCGCCGCCTCTCCTTCCGCTTCCTCACCCACGAGCTCAAACTGAAACTCGCCCTTTCTCACCACTCCCTAACCTCCTTCTCCGCCTGTGCCCAGTCCCTCACTCTCGCCTGCAGCTCTGCCCGCCCTCTCACGTTGACCCAGCTTTTGCTGTTTGGGGAAGAGAGGATCCATATCGCCTCCTTCAAGGTTGCCTCTGTCCGTGCGCTTTACCTCAATGGTCCGATTAATCTGCTGCCGCCACGCCCCCACCGCATCCCAGCTGACGTTCGGAAAGCCATGGAGATCTGTGGAGACTCGTTTGTGTATCTTCCGCCACCGCAGCCGTTTGCATGGGCGGACTGGCTGAGCACACTCGCGCCAGCAGTGGAGCTGCTTATAGCAAGGCACGACATCGACCTTGGCGCCTGCAGGTTCCCCTGGCCGCGGCTGCGGAGCCTCGGGATTGTCGTGGCGAGCGACTACGATGTGATGAACCCGGTGCGAGGGGAGATGGCGGTGGAAGATGTGGAGAGAGCAGATGGGAATGAGATCATCAAGTGGACGAGAAAGCAGAGAAGGAAGGAGAAGGCGGAGGCGAGGGAGACGGAGCACAGGATGAGGAATCAAGGGCTCACTCGGTTTCATGCAGGCCCGTTTGGCAACCAGCTTGGGGTTGACGATGGTGATGATGACGATGACGATGTTTATGGCCCACTGGAGCGAGAGACGCCTTCACGCAGATCTGCTCCCACTCGACTGTGCATCCCTCCGAAAATCCATGCTCCAAATCTGCGGGCCATCTTCTTTCCAACCCGCCGCAACACACCCCGAGCCTTGCTAGCAGACCTGAGGGCGAGGCATCCCTCCCTGGCGCTGTACTGTGTTGCAAGGCACACGTGGTACTGGGAGAGGAAAGGGATGAGGGTGGAGGGTGGGCCGGTGACGCATGTGAGGGGGCTGAGAGGAGGGAAGAGCAGTGCGTCGTTTAGGAATGGGAGGAAGAGCGTGCGGGACAAGATGCACAGTGTGAATCGCGGGCTGATGGAGGGGTACACGCTGGATGAGGAGGAGTGGTTCATGGTGGAAAGACGGAATTGGAAGCCGGTGGTTGGTGAAGAGGAACGGGAGAGGGATCGTGGTCGTGATAGCGATGGTGACGAGTTTGATGATGAGGATGATGAGGAGGAAGAGGTGGAGGAGGATGAGGAGGATGAGAATGATGAGGATGATGAAGAGGATGAGGAGGATGAAGATGATGAGGATGATGAAGATGAAGAGGATGATGAAGATGATGAAGATGATGAGGATGATGAGGATGAGTAGGGATGAAAGGTGTAGTACCGTATAAAGAGTTGAAGTGCATGCCCGGCACATTTTGCATTCCTTGCCAACTAGTTCATTTGCCAGGCTAATCAACATTGCCTCCAAACTCGTCAATGCTACCTCTGCCTCAACCTGGTAAATTGCCACAGTATACAGTCATCCATCATTATTCCATGCACTCTCAAAGACAATGTTGCAATTGAAGGTGTGGGTTCCAGCAGTGTGTTCAATAATTAAGGCAAATATTATATGTTGTGAAAGTGCTTGAATTGGAGAATGACCCTGTTGGAGTGAATTTACACTGAGAGAGTTATCTAATGTATTGGCGTGTTATGCACCATAGATTTACAACTGTATGTAAGCGTGCATAGTGATAGTTGAAGCAGCGGTAGCAGGGCTAGCAGTAGCGAGGTAGCGAGCCTAGCAGGCACTTCCACTCTTGCCCCCACAGCAAGGGAAGGGACTCAGCAGGTTACGATCTTGTGATGCTCGTAGTAGGAGCTTCCGTTGCGCGCAGCTTCTAGTGCTTGCAGCCTGCGCGGGTCGGCCCTTGACAGATTCTTTCCCGCCATGGCGACGGGCTCGCTGAAGCAGGTCGCCAAGTGTCGCCTTCGCGATCTTCTCGTCGCAAGCACCGCCGGTCGCACATTCGCGTCAACGCCGAGTCCTGTCCAAACCGCTCTTCACCACGCGCGCGCTGATTCCGCCGCGCGCACTAAATCCGCCGCCACGAGCCCCTCGCCCGCTGTGCCCTCCGCCGGTACCACCGACTCTCTGCCGCCTGCCGCGTCGCAGCCCACGTCGCAATCCGTGTCGCTCAGGTTTCCCAGCGGATATGTTCAACACGCCGCCCGTCCGCCGCACGGCCGCTGCCATCCAGCTGTGCCTCCGCCGCTAGCCCCGCCGCTAGCCCCGCCGCTAGCCCCGCTGGGAGCGGTGTCGCGCACTCACGCACCTCACGCGCCGCACGTGCCTCACACGCTTTGGCCCGCCGCGCCACGCGCAGATTCCGCAGCAGCATCAGGCCAAAGCGTGTTCTGCGCACAACCACAAGCGGCTGCCCGCTGCCACCACTCTTCCGCCGAGCCGTGCCACCACGACGAGGCGTGCACAGAAAGCGGGGCCATGTCAGCAGCTGATGACGCGTCCGCGTGCTGGCTCTGTTCCGCCGATCGCGGCGCTGATGCGCGCGCGGGGGGAAAGGGCAACCCGTCCGACATGCGCGCGGATGCGGAAGCGGAGGGCGCGAGGGGCAGGGGGGATGGCGCGAGCAAGCAGGGCGATCCGCTGACGTGGCGGTTCTTCTGCGGAACATGTGGCGCGCTGCAACCGGTGGACAAACGTACGGACCTGTTCGAACTGTTCGGCCTGTGAGTGGTTCATTGATACTTGGATTGGATTGGCAGGCTGGCGTGCTTGCGATTGGGATTCGAGCAGCTCTACAATCTACAATATGCGCTCTCTGTCGTTCTTGGCCCCCCTCCTGCGTCCCTCCCTTGCCCGGTGATGCCCCAGCCCGCTTGCATTCGCTATTGAAGCAGCCATGCAAGCATGTGCCTGTGATGCTCGCTCTTTCCCCCACCCTGCCCACCGCCCTCCAGTCCGCGTGCATCCGCCGTCGACCTGCCGCTACAAGCAGCTGCCCGAGTTGCTTTCTCTCTCATCTCAATCAACTTCCTCTGCTCTTTCCATCTCAATCAACTTCCTCTGCTCTTTCCATTTCCCCCCACCGCTCCCCAAACCGCGTGCATTCGCCATCGACCCTTTGCTCCTGGAGCAGCGCTACAAGGAGCTGCCCGACATGCTCCCCCATCCACTTGCTCCGCTCTTTCCATACACCGCCCCCCTCCTTTCCCCTCGCTCTCCACTGCCCTCCAGCCCGCGCCACCCTCCTCTACCCTTCGCTCCTGGAGCAGCGCTACAAGGAGCTGCCTGACATGCTCCCCCAATCCACTTGCTCGCTCTTTCCGTCCCCCCCGTCTCCCCTGCCCACCGCCCCTCAGCCCATGTGCATTTGCCATCGGCCGATCCCTACTGGAACAGCAGCTACAAGCAGCTGCAGAAACCTCTTTCTTGATATATGCCCTCCCGCACTATTGCTCCCCCTGCTTGCGTCCCTCCCTTTCCCTGGTCTTGCGTCCCTCCCTTTCCCTGGTCTTGCGTCCCTCCCTTTCCCTGGTCTTGCGTCCCTCCCTTTCCCTGGTCTTGCGTCCCTCCCTTTCCCTGGTCTTGCGTCCCTCCCTTTCCCTGGTCTTGCGTCCCTCCCTTTCCCTGGTCTTGCGTCCCCGGTGCTGCCCCAGCCCGCGTGCATTCGCCATCGACCTATCACTGTTGGAGCAGCGCTACAAGCAGCTGCCTGAGCAGCTACCTATCCCTGCCTGACCTATCCACTTGCTCCGCTCTTTCGTCCCCACCTTCTCCTCTGCCCACCGCCCCGCAGCCCGCGTGCATTCGCCGTCGACCTATCACTATTGGAGCAGCGCTACAAGCAGCTGCAGAAGATGCTGCACCCGGACCTGCATGGGGGCAGATCAGAGGTGAGAAAGGGGGGTGAGAAGCGGGGAGTAGGGGGAGAAGGGGAAGGGGAGGTGCGTGGGTTCTCTCCTTCGCAGCAGCTGCAGAAGATGCAGCACCCGGACCTGCATGGGGGCAAGTCGCAGGTGAGAAAGGGGGAGGGGGAAGGGGGGTGAGGCCTGGGTGGGATGAGGGAGGGGGGAGGGGAAGTGCATGGGGCATTCTCCTTCACAGCAGCTGCAGAAGATGCAGCACCCGGATCTACATGGGGGCAGGTCGCAGGTGAGACGGCGTGAGGTGTGGGGGAAGGGCGGGGGGAGGAGAGGTGGTTAGGTATTCGCTTTCCTCATCCGGACGTTCATGGGGGACAAAGGAAGGGGGGCGAGGGGCATGGGTGCGCTCCTTGGTAGCAGCTGCACAGCAGCCGGACAAGCACAGGGACAAGTCGGAGGTGAGGTGTGCAATGGGGGAGGGCGTGGGGGCTAGTGATGAGTTTTCCAACAGCTTCAAGGGCGTGGGGGCGTGGAAGCCCACCTGTTCACATTCGACAGCTTCAAGGGACCAGGGGACCGTTTTCGTGTGTGTGCATTTTCATGTGCATGCTTATGGCATGCGCGCATGCCTGGGCACATTCATGCCCATGATGGGCATGAATGATGGTTGGTGGGCATGAATGATGGTTGGTGGGCATGAATGATGGTTGGTGGGCATGAATGATGGTTGGTGGGCATGAATGATGGTTGGTGGGCATGAATGATGGTTGGTGGGCATGAATGATGGTTGGTGGGCATGAATGATGGTTGGTGGGCATGAATGATGGTTGGTGGGCATGAATGATGGTTGGTGGGCATGAATGATGGTTGGTGGGCATGAATGATGGTTGGTGGGCATGAATGATGGTTGGTGGGCATGAATGATGGTTGGTGGGCATGAATGATGGTTGGTGGGCATGAATGATGGTTGGTGGGCATGAATGATGGTTGGTGGGCATGAATGATGGTTGGTGGGCATGAATGATGGTTGGTGGGCATGAATGATGGTTGGTGGGCATGAATGATGGTTGGTGGGCATGAATGATGGTTGGTGGGCATGAATGATGGTTGGTGGGCATGAATGATGGTTGGTGGGCATGAATGATGGTTGGTGGGCATGAATGATGGTTGGTGGGCATGAATGATGGTTGGTGGGCATGAATGATGGTTGGTGGGCATGAATGATGGTTGGTGGGCATGAATGATGGTTGGTGGGCATGAATGATGGTTGGTGGGCATGAATGATGGTTGGTGGGCATGAATGATGGTTGGTGGGCATGAATGATGGTTGGTGGGCATGAATGATGGTTGGTGGGCATGAATGATGGTTGGTGGGCATGAATGATGGTTGGTGGGCATGAATGATGGTTGGTGGGCATGAATGATGGTTGGTGGGCATGAATGATGGTTGGTGGGCATGAATGATGGTTGGTGGGCATGAATGATGGTTGGTGGGCATGAATGATGGTTGGTGGGCATGAATGATGGTTGGTGGGCATGAATGATGGTTGGTGGGCATGAATGATGGTTGGTGGCATGAATGATGGTTGGTGGGCATGAATGATGGTTGGTGGGCATGAATGATGGTTGGTGGGCATGAATGATGGTTGGTGGGCATGAATGATGGTTGGTGGCATGAATGATGGTTGGTGGGCATGAATGATGGTTGGTGGGCATGAATGATGGTTGGTGGGCATGAATGATGGTTGGTGGGCATGAATGATGGTTGGTGGGCATGAATGATGGTTGGTGGGCATGAATGATGGTTGGTGGGCATGAATGATGGTTGGTGGGCATGAATGATGGTTGGTGGGCATGAATGATGGTTGGTGGGCATGAATGATGGTTGGTGGGCATGAATGATGGTTGGTGGGCATGAATGATGGTTGGTGGGCATGAATGATGGTTGGTGGGCATGAATGATGGTTGGTGGGCATGAATGATGGTTGGTGGGCATGAATGATGGTTGGTGGGCATGAATGATGGTTGGTGGGCATGAATGATGGTTGGTGGGCATGAATGATGGTTGGTGGGCATGAATGATGGTTGGTGGGCATGAATTGATGGTTGGTGGGCATGAATGATGGTTGGTGGGCATGAATGATGGTTGGTGGGCATGAATGATGGTTGGTGGGCATGAATGATGGTTGGTGGGCATGAATGATGGTTGGTGGGCATGAATGATGGTTGGTGGGCATGAATGATGGTTGGTGGGCATGAATGATGGTTGGTGGGCATGAATGATGGTTGGTGGGCATGAATGATGGTTGGTGGGCATGAATGATGGTTGGTGGGCATGAATGATGGTTGGTGGGCATGAATGATGGTTGGTGGGCATGAATGATGGTTGGTGGGCATGAATGATGGTTGGTGGGCATGAATGATGGTTGGTGGGCATGAATGATGGTTGGTGGGCATGAATGATGGTTGGTGGGCATGAATGATGGTTGGTGGGCATGAATGATGGTTGGTGGGCATGAATGATGGTTGGTGGGCATGAATGATGGTTGGTGGGCATGAATGATGGTTGGTGGGCATGAATGATGGTTGGTGGGCATGAATGATGGTTGGTGGGCATGAATGATGGTTGGTGGGCATGAATGATGGTTGGTGGGCATGAATGATGGTTGGTGGGCATGAATGATGGTTGGTGGGCATGAATGATGGTTGGTGGGCATGAATGATGGTTGGTGGGCATGAATGATGGTTGGTGGGCATGAATGATGGTTGGTGGGCATGAATGATGGTTGGTGGGCATGAATGATGGTTGGTGGGCATGAATGATGGTTGGTGGGCATGAATGATGGTTGGTGGGCATGAATGATGGTTGGTGGGCATGAATGATGGTTGGTGGGCATGAATGATGGTTGGTGGGCATGAATGATGGTTGGTGGGCATGAATGATGGTTGGTGGGCATGAATGATTGGTTGGTGGGCATGAATGATGGTTGGTGGGCATGAATGATGGTTGGTGGGCATGAATGATGGTTGGTGGGCATGAATGATGGTTGGTGGGCATGAATGATGGTTGGTGGGCATGAATGATGGTTGGTGGGCATGAATGATGGTTGGTGGGCATGAATGATGGTTGGTGGGCATGAATGATGGTTGGTGGGCATGAATGATGGTTGGTGGGCATGAATGATGGTTGGTGGGCATGAATGATGGTTGGTGGGCATGAATGATGGTTGGTGGGCATGAATGATGGTTGGTGGGCATGAATGATGGTTGGTGGGCATGAATGATGGTTGGTGGGCATGAATGATGGTTGGTGGGCATGAATGATGGTTGGTGGGCATGAATGATGGTTGGTGGGCATGAATGATGGTTGGTGGGCATGAATGATGGTTGGTGGGCATGAATGATGGTTGGTGGGCATGAATGATGGTTGGTGGGCATGAATGATGGTTGGTGGGCATGAATGATGGTTGGTGGGCATGAATGATGGTTGGTGGGCATGAATGATGGTTGGTGGGCATGAATGATGGTTGGTGGGCATGAATGATGGTTGGTGGGCATGAATGATGGTTGGTGGGCATGAATGATGGTTGGTGGGCATGAATGATGGTTGGTGGGCATGAATGATGGTTGGTGGGCATGAATGATGGTTGGTGGGCATGAATGATGGTTGGTGGGCATGAATGATGGTTGGTGGCATGAATGATGGTTGGTGGGCATGAATGATGGTTGGTGGGCATGAATGATGGTTGGTGGGCATGAATGATGGTTGGTGGGCATGAATGATGGTTGGTGGGCATGAATGATGGTTGGTGGGCATGAATGATGGTTGGTGGGCATGAATGATGGTTGGTGGGCATGAATGATGGTTGGTGGGCATGAATGATGGTTGGTGGGCATGAATGATGGTTGGTGGGCATGAATGATGGTTGGTGGGCATGAATGATGGTTGGTGGGCATGAATGATGGTTGGTGGGCATGAATGATGGTTGGTGGGCATGAATGATGGTTGGTGGGCATGAATGATGGTTGGTGGGCATGAATGATGGTTGGTGGGCATGAATGATGGTTGGTGGGCATGAATGATGGTTGGTGGGCATGAATGATGGTTGGTGGGCATGAATGATGGTTGGTGGGCATGAATGATGGTTGGTGGGCATGAATTGATGGGTTGGTGGGCATGAATGATGGTTGGTTGGGCATGAATGATGGTTGGTGGGCATGAATGATGGTTGGTGGGCATGAATGATGGTTGGTGGGCATGAATGATGGTTGGTGGGCATGAATGATGGTTGGTGGGCATGAATGATGGTTGGTGGGCATGAATGATGGTTGGTGGGCATGAATGATGGTTGGTGGGCATGAATGATGGTTGGTGGGCATGAATGATGGTTGGTGGGCATGAATGATGGTTGGGTGGGGCATGAATGATGGTTGGTGGGCATGAATGATGGTTGGTGGGCATGAATGATGGTTGGTGGGCATGAATGATGGTTGGTGGGCATGAATGATGGTTGGTGGGCATGAATGATGGTTGGTGGGCATGAATGATGGTTGGTGGGCATGAATGATGGTTGGTGGGCATGAATGATGGTTGGTGGGCATGAATGATGGTTGGTGGGCATGAATGATGGTTGGTGGGCATGAATGATGGTTGGTGGGCATGAATGATGGTTGGTGGGCATGAATGATGGTTGGTGGGCATGAATGATGGTTGGTGGGCATGAATGATGGTTGGTGGGCATGAATGATGGTTGGTGGGCATGAATGATGGTTGGTGGGCATGAATGATGGTTGGTGGGCATGAATGATGGTTGGTGGGCATGAATGATGGTTGGTGGGCATGAATGATGGTTGGTGGGCATGAATGATGGTTGGTGGGCATGAATGATGGTTGGTGGGCATGAATGATGGTTGGTGGGCATGAATGATGGTTGGTGGGCATGAATGATGGTTGGTGGGCATGAATGATGGTTGGTGGGCATGAATGATGGTTGGTGGGCATGAATGATGGTTGGTGGGCATGAATGATGGTTGGTGGGCATGAATGATGGTTGGTGGGCATGAATGATGGTTGGTGGGCATGAATGATGGTTGGTGGGCATGAATGATGGTTGGTGGCATGAATGATGGTTGGTGGGCATGAATGATGGTTGGTGGGCATGAATGATGGTTGGTGGGCATGAATGATGGTTGGTGGGCATGAATGATGGTTGGTGGGCATGAATGATGGTTGGTGGGCATGAATGATGGTTGGTGGGCATGAATGATGGTTGGTGGGCATGAATGATGGTTGGTGGGCATGAATGATGGTTGGTGGGCATGAATGATGGTTGGTGGGCATGAATGATGGTTGGTGGGCATGAATGATGGTTGGTGGGCATGAATGATGGTTGGTGGGCATGAATGATGGTTGGTGGGCATGAATGATGGTTGGTGGGCATGAATGATGGTTGGTGGGCATGAATGATGGTTGGTGGGCATGAATGATGGTTGGTGGGCATGAATGATGGTTGGTGGGCATGAATGATGGTTGGTGGGCATGAATGATGGTTGGTGGGCATGAATGATGGTTGGTGGGCATGAATGATGGTTGGTGGGCATGAATGATGGTTGGTGGGCATGAATGATGGTTGGTGGGCATGAATGATGGTTGGTGGGCATGAATGATGGTTGGTGGGCATGAATGATGGTTGGTGGGCATGAATGATGGTTGGTGGGCATGAATGATGGTTGGTGGGCATGAATGATGGTTGGTGGGCATGAATGATGGTTGGTGGGCATGAATGATGGTTGGTGGGCATGAATGATGGTTGGTGGGCATGAATGATGGTTGGTGGGCATGAATGATGGTTGGTGGGCATGAATGATGGTTGGTGGGCATGAATGATGGTTGGTGGGCATGAATGATGGTTGGTGGGCATGAATGATGGTTGGTGGGCATGAATGATGGTTGGTGGGCATGAATGATGGTTGGTGGGCATGAATGATGGTTGGTGGGCATGAATGATGGTTGGTGGGCATGAATGATGGTTGGTGGGCATGAATGATGGTTGGTGGGCATGAATGATGGTGTGGCATGAATGATGGTTGTGGGCATGAATGATGGTTGGTGGGCATGAATGATGGTTGGTGGGCATGAATGATGGTTGGTGGGCATGAATGATGGTTGGTGGGCATGAATGATGGTTGGTGGGCATGAATGATGGTTGGTGGGCATGAATGATGGTTGGTGGGCATGAATGATGGTTGGTGGGCATGAATGATGGTTGGTGGGCATGAATGATGGTTGGTGGGCATGAATGATGGTTGGTGGGCATGAATGATGGTTGGTGGGCATGAATGATGGTTGGTGGGCATGAATGATGGTTGGTGGGCATGAATGATGGTTGGTGGGCATGAATGATGGTTGGTGGGCATGAATGATGGTTGGTGGGCATGAATGATGGTTGGTGGGCATGAATGATGGTTGGTGGGCATGAATGATGGTTGGTGGGCATGAATGATGGTTGGTGGGCATGAATGATGGTTGGTGGGCATGAATGATGGTTGGTGGGCATGAATGATGGTTGGTGGGCATGAATGATGGTTGGTGGGCCATGAATGATGGTTGGTGGGCATGAATGATGGTTGGTGGGCATGAATGATGGTTGGTGGGCATGAATGATGGTTGGTGGGCATGAATGATGGTTGGTGGGCATGAATGATGGTTGGTGGCATGAATGATGGTTGGTGGGCATGAATGATGGTTGGTGGCATGAATGATGGTTGGTGGGCATGAATGATGGTTGGTGGGCATGAATGATGGTTGGTGGCATGAATGATGGTTGGTGGGCATGAATGATGGTTGGTGGGCATGAATGATGGTTGGTGGGCATGAATGATGGTTGGTGGGCATGAATGATGGTTGGTGGGCATGAATGATGGTTGGTGGGCATGAATGATGGTTGGTGGGCATGAATGATGGTTGGTGGGCATGAATGATGGTTGGTGGGCATGAATGATGGTTGGTGGGCATGAATGATGGTTGGTGGCATGAATGATGGTTGGTGGGCATGAATGATGGTTGGTGGGCATGAATGATGGTTGGTGGGCATGAATGATGGTTGGTGGGCATGAATGATGGTTGGTGGGCATGAATGATGGTTGGTGGGCATGAATGATGGTTGGTGGGCATGAATGATGGTTGGTGGGCATGAATGATGGTTGGTGGGCATGAATGATGGTTGGTGGGCATGAATGATGGTTGGTGGGCATGAATGATGGTTGGTGGGCATGAATGATGGTTGGTGGGCATGAATGATGGTTGGTGGGCATGAATGATGGTTGGTGGGCATGAATGATGGTTGGTGGGCATGAATGATGGTTGGTGGGCATGAATGATGGTTGGTGGGCATGAATGATGGTTGGTGGGCATGAATGATGGTTGGTGGGCATGAATGATGGTTGGTGGGCATGAATGATGGTTGGTGGGCATGAATGATGGTTGGTGGGCATGAATGATGGTTGGTGGGCATGAATGATGGTTGGTGGGCATGAATGATGGTTGGTGGGCATGAATGATGGTTGGTGGGCATGAATGATGGTTGGTGGGCATGAATGATGGTTGGTGGGCATGAATGATGGTTGGTGGGCATGAATGATGGTTGGTGGGCATGAATGATGGTTGGTGGGCATGAATGATGGTTGGTGGGCATGCGCGTGTGCATCTGCATGTTTATGTGCGTATGCCTGGGCAAGTTCACGTGCATGTGTGTGTGCGTGTGCGCATGCATGTGCATGTGCGCATGCATGTGCATGTGCGTGTGCATGTGCATGTGCGCGTGCATGTGCGCGTGCATGTGCATGTGCGTGTGCATGTGCATGTGCATGGGCGGGCGCGTGTGTGTGTGCGTATGCTTATGCGTGGGCATGTGCAGGAGGAGAGGGCACTATCAGCGGAGCAAGCAGCGCATGTCATAGACGCCTACTACACGCTCCTCAGGCCACTCTCTCGCGCCAAGTACCTTGTAAGGCCCCCCATCACCTCACTTCCCACATGCAATGCGGGCACTACTCTGGCAGCAGCACAGCAAGCAGCGCATGTGATAGAGACGCCTACTACACGCTGCTCCTCTCGCGCGCCAAGTACCTCGTGAGCCCGCCTGCTGTGCCTCATGCCTCTTGCGCCGTGCCCCCTCACTTCCCATGTGCTTCACTCCAGCAGAGCTGGACCGCTACCAGCCCTCGCTTCGCCCTCACTTCGCCCTCACTTCGCCCTCACTCCGCCCTCACTTCGCCCTCACTCCGCCCTCACTTCGCCCTCACTCCGCCCTCACTTCGCCCTCATTCCGCCCTCACTTCGCCTCCTCTCATCCCCCATCGCCATTCGCCCCTTCCCCCTCCCCCCTTCCACCCCCCGCCCCTTCCATCAGCTCCGGGCTAGCGGCGTGACAGCAGCAGAGCTGAGTGGGGACAGCCCTGGCTCTCTCCCCTTTCGCCCTCCCTCGTTTCTCCAGTTCGCCTCCTCTCATCCCCCCTTTCACCCCTCACCCTCACCCCGCCCCTCCCATCAGCTGCGAGCTAGCGGCGTGACAGCAGCAGAGCTGAGTGGGGACAGCCCGGGGCGGGACCAACAGCTGCTCATGGAGGTGCGTGTGCTAGGGGGGGAAAGGGTGCTGGTGCTAGGGGGGAAGGGTGCTGGTGCTAGGGGGGGAAAGGGTGCTGGTGCTAGGGGGGGAAAGGGTGCTGGTGCTAGGGGGGGAAAGGGTGCTGGTGCTAGGGGGGGAAAGGGTGCTGGTGCTAGGGGGGGAAAGGGTGCTGGTGCTAGGGGGGAAGGGTGCTGGTGCTAGGGGGGGAAAGGGTGCTGGTGCTAGGGGGGGAAAGGGTGCTGGTGCTAGGGGGGGAAAGGGTGCTGGTGCTAGGGGGGGAAAGGGTGCTGGTGCTAGGGGGGGAAAGGGTGCTGGTGCTAGGGGGGGAAAGGGTGCTGGTGCTAGGGGGGGAAGGGTGCTGGTGCTAGGGGGGGAAAGGGTGCTGGTGCTAGGGGGGGAAAGGGTGCTGGTGCTAGGGGGGGAAAGGGTGCTGGTGCTAGGGGGGAAGGGTGCTGGTGCTAGGGGGGGAAAGGGTGCTGGTGCTAGGGGGGGAAAGGGTGCTGGTGCTAGGGGGGGAAAGGGTGCTGGTGCTAGGGGGGGAAAGGGTGCTGGTGCTAGGGGGGGAAAGGGTGCTGGTGCTTATCGGTGGGATCGGGTGTCTGTGGGGAGGGTGGTGGCGGGGAGGGTGGTGGCGGGGAGGGTGGTGGCGGGGAGGGTGGTGGCGGGGAGGGTGGTGGCGGGGAGGGTGGTGGCGTCACCCCAGCAGAGCTGAGTGGCGACAGGCTGGGGCGGGACCAGCACCTGCTCAGGGAGGTGCGCGGGTGCTTGGGGGGAAAGGGTGCTTGTAGGGAGGGTAGGGTGCTTGTGGGGAGGGTGTCGGTGTGACAGCAGCAGAGCTGAGTGGGGACAGCCCGGGGCGGGACCAGCAGCTGCTTATGGGAGGGTGCATGTGTGCTTTGGCGGGGAGGGTGCATGTGTGCTTTGGCGGGGAGGGTGCATGTGTGCTTTGGCGGGGAGGGTGCATGTGTGCTTTGGCGGGGAGGGTGCATGTGTGCTTTGGCGGGGAGGGTGCATGTGTGCTTTGGCGGGGAGGGTGCATGTGTGCTTGCGAGATCTGACCCTTCAAAGCGGCTTGGGATTCGCCACTCATTCAGTGTGTGCCACCCCTCTGCCCCGCTGATGCATGTGTGGCGGTGCGGCAGGTGATGGAACTGAGGGAGACCGTTGAGGACGCTGACAGCCCCGAGGAGCTGCAAGCTCTGCAGTCACAGGTGTGTGTGTGTGCGTCCGCGTGTGTGTGGTTGCTTTTGTGTGGAGGGGGACGAAGGGACGGGGGGGATGCCGCACGTGATGGAAATGAGGGAGACCGTTGAGGACGCTGACAGCCCCGAGGAGCTGCAGGCGCTGCAGTCGCAGGTGGGGAACGGAGAAGAATGGGGGAGAAGGGGAGGGGTTTGGTCTGGGATGGTGGGGGGAGGATGGGAACAGGAATTGCCTGTATTTTTGGTGACGCAGATCTGGGTGGTCGGTGGGGAAGGTTTCTCTGTCAGTATTTCGAGGGCGAGGTGACGTGAGGTGAGGTGAGGTGACGTGAGGTGAGGTGAGGTGAGGTGACGTGAGGTGAGGTGAGGTGAGGCGTCAAAGAGACAGGTCTTGAGGTAAGACGCGTGTCTTGTTGTTGCTCAGGCAGTCAAAACCAGTTCGGGGTAGAGACGATAAGGAGAGTTGCCACTTTGTTGGACTCACTGGTTCTTGTGCGCGTGACAGAGCAGCCTGAACCATCACAGAGGCCACATGTATGTCACTCACTTCTGCTTCACAACTCCTCTACGAATCTCCTCTTTTTGAGGTGCCTCAAAAATCACAATTCATGTACGAGTCTCCTGTTTTCCTGTTTCGGTTTCCCTCTTTCCCGCGTGTCTTGCATGTGAAGACCCAGGAGAGAATGGAAGGGCTGTACAGCAGCTTTGACGATGCGTTTCGGAGGGGCGATGTGGGAGCATGTGTGGGGCTGCTGCACCGCATGGCATACTTCCAGCGCGTAGCCAATGAGATTGACAACCGGCTGCACTCTATGTAGCTCCTGAACAACTCACTGTTGACTTGCATATCTTATTATGGGGCAAAGTACCGTACAACAAGGGTGTGTGTGGGGCTGCTGCACCACATGGCTTACTTCCAACGCGTGGGCAATGAGATTGACAACCGTCTGCATTCAATGTAGCGCTCCAGAACTCCTCATTGTAGCCTTGCATTATCGTAGAGAAAGGCACTGAAGCTAAAGTATGTGTATTTGGACATTTTAATATACACACACCTTTAATTGGAGCTACAGAAAAGGAAGGAGCTGAACATTTAAAACAGAAATATATAATAATGAACCATGTCCCATCTTGAAAGTGGGATCTCCTCTGTCGCATGTGTCGTGCTACACCTGCATGACTCTTGCCATGCGATGGTTTCGATCGCCAGGCCAAAATTGGTTTCAAGTTGGAATTGGGTTTCATGATAGCTGCTCTCCATCCCGTAATCACTAGTTTTATTCCTAGCATATTTTAGCTGACAACAATAGGTGTTGTGGCCAAGGTAAGGAACTATCGACCCTGCAGGAATGCGTAAGACTGCTACGTAGTATAGTATCGTAATTTTATTCCCTTCCGTAGGCGATCGCCACCCTTCCGCAGGTGCTAGTTTCCTGTATCGCGCCTTCGCCATCTCCCCTACCCTCCAGTCGTTCGTCCGCTGTCCGCTCCCCTCCCATCACCTTCGTGGGTCTCTCTGTCAAACTGTATATGTTATACTTGATTATTTAGGCTGTAGTGGGGTAGCCAATGTAGGGTACAACCCCTTAGGGTTTCCTCTTGTACCAAAATTCTCTCGATAGTCATCATCATCCTAGCTACCTATTGAACATGGTATTAAGAGCATGTAGGGTCTTAGGACCTTAGGACGATTTTTTTTTTCGGGCCCACCACCTACCACCTGCCCGTGTCGCGCTATCCCGCGCTCTGCCCTGCCCCAGTCCCGCGTGCACCTCGCTAGCAGCCCGTACGGCCCGCGCGTCGCCTCTGCTGGCCCGCGCGCCGCCTGCCAGTAGCCCGCGCGACCCGCGCGTTTTCCGCGCAGCCCGTGCACAGCCCCTGCTAGCCCGCGCGCCGCCTGCCTGCTAGCCTGCGCGCCCTGCGAGCTGCCTGTCGCACTGCCACGCAGCCCCGTGCCCCTGCCCTGCTGCTGCTGCAGCTGCCTGCTACGTCCTGCGCGCGGCCCGCCTTGCTGCCTTGCCGGCCGCCTGTAGCCCCCCGCGCCGCCTGTAGCCCCGCGCGCCGCCTGCCTCTGCCGCGTCTGCCTGCTACGCCCCGAGCGCCACCTGTAGTGCTCCCCTGCAGCCCCGTGCGCCGCCTGCCCTGCTGCCGCGGCTGCCTGCTGCGCCCTGCCCTGGGCGCCCTGCCCGCGCTGCCCTGCGCCCTGCCCGCCCTGCCAGCGCTGCAGCCGCAGCTACGCTGCTGCTGCTGCCAGCGCCACACTGCCTCGCCGTGCCCGAGCCGCGCCACACTGCCTAGGGGCCTGGCATTAGGTTGCTACTGCTGCTTCTACCGTTGCTGCCACTCGTGCTATTGCTACTGCTACTGCTGCTTGCCTGCAATCGCTCTGCGCTGCTAGTCCCGCGCCAGCTGCTATGGCCACCCTCCGAGTTATGTCGTTCGATGCTGAGGCCCGCCCCATTCAGTTCGAAACCTGGCTAGATGACCTGCAGCTGTTCCTAATGTGCGATAGCAAGAACGATGTCTCTCTTAATGACCACACGTCAGGTGCCTCAGTCGCTCCCGCTGCCACCGCTGAGCTTAGCGCCCGTTCCCAGTGGCAGACTCGTGATGCTGCTGCGCGCCTAGCTGTTCGCAATCATCTTCCGTTAGCTGAGCTTACGCATTTTGGCGAGCACAAGACCGCTAAGGCCCTTTACGTCGCTGTAGTTGCTCGATACTCCTCCCCTGCCAAAGCTGAGCTTAGCCGCCTCATGCTGCCCTACCTGTTTCCTGAGCTGTCCACGATTGCCACAGTTGCCGATCTCATTACCCACCTTCGCACTAGTGACACCCGCCTTCGCGCCGCCCTCCCCAAAGACTTCTGTGCTAAGCACCCGCCTCCGATGAACTGGACACTTCACTTCATAGTCACCCGTCTCCCTGACGCTCTTAGCTCGGTCCGGGACCACTTTCTCGCTCGCTGTCCCACCGAACTCACTGTCGACCTCCTAGAGCAGCACCTCCTTGCAGCAGAGAAGAGCATTGTCGCTGTAGCTGCTGCTCGTGGCGCTCCTCGCACCCCCATATTTGAGGGGTGCTCTCCCTCTCCCCTCGCCCCCTCCTTCGCTGCTGCTGCGCTGTTGACCTCCTTGGTGCTGAGTCTGCTGGTGCTGCTTCTGCTCCTGGTGGGAGGCGCCACAACGGCAAGGGCAAGGGAGCCAAGGGCAGCGGAGGTGGCACCGGGGGGGGTGGTGGTGGAGGCGGTGGAGGAGGAGGAGGTGGCGGAGGGAGTGGTGGCGGGAGTGCTGGCGGGAGTGGTAGCGTCGGCAACGGCGGTGGAGGCGGTGGAGGCGGTGGCGGCGGAGGGGGTGGCAGCGGCGGTGGCAGCGGCGGTGGCGGCAGGGGCGGTGGTAGCGGTGGAGGTGGCGGTCGGGGTGGAGGCACGGGCGCTGGTCAGAGATAGCAGCAGCAGCAGATTCCCCAGACGACCCAGCAGCTTCGTGAGTGGCTTGCTCAACGTGGGAGGTCTGGGGGTGGTGGTCGCTGCCCGTATGTCATTCGCACAGGTGACCGCAAGGGTCAGACATGTGGGAAGTTCCACACCCAGCACCGCTGCTTCTCCCGCCTTGACGACGCCTGGCGTGAGGAGATGGGCGAGGACGCTGAGCGCCCTCGCTGGTACGAGCTGCTTAAGGCTGGTGTAGACATCTTTGCTCTTGACTATGATGCTATTATTACTGCCATGTATGCATTGGAGATTAGTGCTGAGGGAGACTGTTACTTGTGTGTGCCGCCTGACCCTGGTATAGAGACTGGTACTCTAGGTGCTGGTGAGGCTGCTGCCTTAGGTGCGAGCGAGTCTGCTCTCTCAGGTACTGCGCCTGCTGAGGCCTTGCACACCTTCACGCTTGACTCAGGTGCTTCCCGCTACTTCTTTCGTGATAGTACTGCACTCACACCACTCCCTGCACCTGTTGCAGTCTCTCTGGCTGACCCCTCAGGGGGCCCAGTTCTTGCATGGTCCACCACTGTGCTCCCGTGCCCGGCGGTTCCGTCGGGCTCACTGTCAGGTCTCCACCTCCCCTCGTTCTCTACGAACTTGGTGAGTACTGCTGTCCTCCAGGATGCGGGGGTTGACACCTTCACCCCTGGTCGGCAGCGTGTGGCGATCTATACGTGCTCCCAGACCGGCCGCCACCTAGCCACGTTTATCCGTCGGCCAGGGTCGAGTCTTTACACACGGTCGACTGCGCCTCCTCAGGTAGCTGCTACTGGTCAGGTGTTTGTGTTAGGTCAGGTAGCCTCCCCTTGTGAGTGTCGCTCCCTGTCGCACCAGACTCTTCTCTGACACCACCGCCTGGGTCACCCCTCCTTGCCACGTCTCCGTGGCATGCACCGTCGTCTCCTTGTGTCTGGTCTTCCCAGGTCTCTCCCTCCCCTCCCTGCTTCGCCTGCGTCGCCCTGCCTTCCTTGCGTCGAGGGGCGGCAGCGCGCCGCTCCTCACGCCTCCTCGTTTCCCCCGACAGAGGCTCCTCTACAGACCCTCCACCTGGACGTGTGGGGCCCAGCCCGCGTTCGTGGACAGGACGGTGAGCGGTACTTTCTGCTGGTTGTCGACGACTAATCGCGCTACACCACGGTCTTCCCCTTGCGCACGCACGCTATGGCACTTCGTCCTTCCTCTGTTCCACAGCGTGTTCCCCGGCCATCTCCTCCAGTGTCTTCTCTGCCTGACGTTCAGGACCCTGAGTCTGACCTCGTTCATACTGCTCACCCTACTGTCACGCGTCTGCTAGCCACTGTTGTCACTGACCCGTCGTTTGAGTCTGCTGCTGCGTCTGCCTTAGTTTCTGAGCTTGTTGACTTTGCTGCTGCCTATCGTCTAGACTTCGCTGCTAGTCTTGTTGCTGAGTCTGAGTCTTTCTGTCCTCCGTCCGTCGGGGGTGAGTATGCTCTTGGCACGGACGTCCTTGAGGACAGGCAGGAGGACTTTGAGTGCCTAGCAGCCGATGCGCCTCATCTCGTGG